AGACATTGCAGCTGTAGCTTTTGGTGATAGAAAAATACAGTTTTGTAACTAGTATGGGTGAAATACACCGTGATTCTTAGCCAGTTTGATTCAGCATTTAGGATTTGATTTTTTTTTTAATAATGAAATTGTTACTAGAATAATTAAGACAAACTTTTTAAATTTCAAATGAATCAAACATGCCCCAGAAAATTACTTATCATTATTGGTGGAATTTGGCTCCGATAGTGGCCGATGAATGCACAGCCTCCACCAGTCATACAGGGACGTACATCCCCAACCTGAGCTGAAGAAAAGTTGTGTTGAATCAAGCAAATAGGGGCTTGATCAGTGGGTACAGCTCCAAAGAAAGACGGTCCCTTCTGCTGTGTGACTACTACATTTCATTTCGGGCCCCGCTGTGTGTCGATCCTTCCCTCCCCTTCACGCTTAATATCTGTCCTATCAATTAAAGGCAAAAGCCCAAAAAAATAATCGTAAAAAAAAAAAATAATAATAATAATACATATATATTTTGAGTATTTTGAAAACACAAAATGACTCCTCTAAGTATCTTGTTACATATTACATGTGAATTTTTTCAGCCCGGTCAAAGAACAGTTACAAAATACTCAGAAGTAATTGAAATACATATTACAAATACAAGTTGGCGTAGAATTACTGCCCATTTCTGATCATCACGTTGTATGAAAGCTCCATACACAAAGTCAAGATTCTTAGGCTTTAAGGAAAAGTAATGGCTCAATAAAAAAATGCCCCATCTACATTTTGTAAGGTTAGTTTGATGTTTTGTTCCAGATTTATTCATCAGTTACCTTGAGATTCATGTTTAGTTCCAGATTTATGGATTTATTGAGGTATTTAGTACTTTGAGATGGATTTTAAGACTTGTCAGCTATCAGCTTTTCCCTGCTCCAAACTGTCACTATTATATTGGCCTTTAAAAATCCACAATCTGTCGACCCAAAGAAGGCACTAGGCAGTGATACACTGAATGGCTTTTTAGCCAGTCCTGATGGAGGAGGAATTTTTCATTAAAATGCTGCTGACTGTTGTTTACAGTATGGCACTTTGTGGGTCAGTGTCATCCCTCTGTAGTTTGTAGTTTTTAATCATGCCTTTTTAAAAAACAGCCCGTTGCTTCTGTAACTAGGACAACTTGGGGCCAATTAGAAGTAGCATTAGCTGCTAACACTAGTGTTACTGCTTTGTGTTGACTGAAGCCTGACAGAGTACATGTCCCCTTCTTATTTGATGCAACCAAATCTCTGTCTGCACCTCTAGTTACTGATATAAACAGTTACTAGCATGACTTCAGCATAACTCTCTATTCTTCTACGTGCAATGAGTGAAAAAGTGTTTTTCCTTCAAATAAAACCAGACAAAATATGACTGTAGCTCCAACACCTCACTCAGAGTCCCACTGCAGGAGCCACACAGGTCTCACTGCCATTTATTTCTACACAAACAGCTAAACAACACTTTTAAATCTATTTAAAGGAAAAGAGCAGGAGTACAGGGTTTATAGCACTCCTGAGACTTCCTGTGTCAGACCTCAAACACTCTGAAACGCAACTTAGAATCATAAGCTAAGAGTGTGTCAGGAAAAAGGAAACTCGATATTTCCTGTAATGACAAAACTATAGGTGTAATGATATAACTATATAGTTGTTTTTTTCTGTTTACGGTTTTAACTCAAAGACCAGCAAATACAAGCTGTCCAGTGACGCTTAACAACCAGCCAATCACCCAAAAAAAGAGAAGATCATAAGATATACTTCCATCTACTCGGGCCATTATCTCATCGATTCATCTCACTGTAGTCCTTAATTAGCTCTCTGCTAGGAAAAGGCTATGCTTAGTCAGTTTCCTGTGTGCTTTCTAATGGATTTAATGTTGCAACATCAGGAGACTTGACTCTTCCTCTGCCAACTTCGTCAGGCCCTCTTGCAGGAATGAGATAACGTCGACTAACTGCTGACTCAGGGGGTCATTGTCCAACAGTTTGAAGCAGTGATGGCCGCTAAAGGCAGTCACACAAGATACTGCAGGAAATCTGCTGCGACTGTTTGCTCACAAGTACGAAACATTTCTGTTTCACTCTTCTGTCTCATTTACCGAACTGAACTAAACTGCACAGACAGCAGGTAGTAGGAAGCATTTCAGCTGCCTGTGTGTTGTGGAGGAAATAATTCAATTTTAATTAGGAAGAATTAGCTACACAATCTAGCTACTCAATCAGTCATTCAGACTTGGGAGGGGGGGGATGACAGGACACATTTTGTCTTGCATATAATTTGTTTTTCCACAGGACGAAGTCTATTGTCCTATCTCTGGTTGACAGCAGTGACTTATGAGAGCTGTCAGTCAAGCACAAAAACTTCATCTGAGTCAGGAATCTGCTCATAAAGATGCGGAGAGAGAGAGAGAGAAAGCGAGAGGGAGAGATGAGGCTCCATTGTTCTGCTGCTGAGACAAATGGCTTTACAAACTTACATTTTTTGTCATTATTTGTCCCATTCCCTCTGCCAAAAGCTGTCTTGAAATAGAGGCATTGTATTTTTAGATGCAGCACACTTTATCACTGCCATTTAAGGCAATGTTTGGTGGTGAAGGATTTCTTTTTTAAGTAAAGAGGGAATATGAAGCCATTCACTCCTCCACACAGATAGGAATAACAGTGTCCAACAAAAGGGCCTATATTTTATCAGTGGACTTTTTGAAAAACTTTTTCAAAACCTGCTAATGAATCACAGGACAGAATGACTCAAAATCTGGCACATACATCTTTCAATATCTACAGCAACACCAGCAGCTCTGAAGGCACATAGGTGCTTTAAGCTAAATGCTAACGTCAGTATGCCAATGTGCTCACAACGACAATGCCAATATGCTGATTTTTAGCAACTTTAATGTTTACTGTGCTCACCATTTTAGTGTAGCTTTTTTTTAACATGCTAGCATTTACTAACTAGCATAAAACACAAAGTACAAATATTTAGCCATAAACCAAACTATTGGACAAATTAAAAATTTGACCTGATGATGGTGCTTTATGGAAATGGCAGCATTCACCAACGTCCAACAACTTTGTACACAATGTCTCTCTTGCCGATATCGTTTCTGCTAATACTTCTTTTTGGGTTTGTCTGGTTAGGTGTCATTTTCAGCTGTACGCTGATCAAAAAGATCAAAGCAGTCGGGCTGTTTTCTGTTCAAGGAGTTAGTATCCAGTTTCACCCCCAACATACTCTGGAAATTGAGTGAATATGGATTTCATGTAAACTTCTAAACCAGGATTTGCCGAGATACCTGGCGTCGTGTGTTGGCAAAACCAGAGTTTGGTTTGACTTGCACGCTATTCACTTCAGATATTTCAGACAGGACCCAAAATGGTGGACCAACTAAGGTCGCCATCTTTTCATCTACACCACTAGTGTGGCTAAAAAAACAAAGCTGTTTGACATTATTTTATGTTTTGATAATAACCAAGACACCCAGAACGCAGGGCAACTGTTAAAAACTGCTGAAACTGATGTTTTGTTTTGTTTTTTTTTAATTCCTGAGTAAATAATAATTTAAATGCAGGGGTGGAAAGAAGTTGCTGCTTTTATCATGATAATATACAAATATTGTGACATCATATCAGTTTCAAGAGAAGCAAAACTAAACTGAGAAAGTAGAAAATGGTGGACAATCTGAGGACACGGCCTTTTATTAGCTGCTCAAATAGCAACTTGAATTCAGGCAACCCAGTGCACTCTCCTCGCCAGATCGGCAAAATCTGTTGCTGCCGTTACAGTCCGGATCCAGCTCGCTGTGAACCCCACCTGCAGTGTCTGGAGCTTTCACCCACTCTCCTCCCAGCAAATGGCCTCCTAGCAGCAGGAAGCATGAGCTAGTTAACTAGCCAGCTAGTTCTTCTTTTGATTTGTAGTCTGATAAACAGAAAGCGAGAGCAAGTCGAGAGACTGAGAAGATCAATGCGCTTCATTTAGCTCCACATGGAATCAGATTTTATTCATTTTAGATACTAAAAAACAATAGAAAATCAATAAGCCGTCACTGTTGATATTGTGGCAGCCACTAATGTTAAATCACTGTGTGGCAAACACTACATTAGCCTGATGAGCAGGGACAGCTAAATGCAGCACTTCAAGATTAATAAAAAATGAAGTATATATTTTTATTCATTCTATTTTACATGTAACATTCATTTTAGTAGGTGATTAAGTGAGTTTATTTAATAGAGCACCTTTCACAGAGCAAGGTCACAAAGTGCTTCACTGGACTAAATTTTTTGATATAAGACCATAAGAAAGTTACTTATTTATTTACCACTTTTCTATGCTGTATATGATGTTACAGAAATAAAAGTCAGAAATACTGATATGCAACCTCCATTGTTTTTAGAATATGTCTCATGATGTACAGACAGTGTATGATGCAACTTTTCTCCCATGGTCTAGTGTCAAAAAATAAACAAAAATTACTTTTTGAATTGCATTTCTACAAAATTACAACATATACTGAATCAGCATCCAAGAATTGAGATAGTATCAAATCAGGAAATAAGCATATCATCTCAGCCCTAGAAACTACTCTTACAGCGCAGGTATCCGCTGCTCAACACACCCTAAATGCATGCAGAATGCACATGTGCATATTGCTGTGATTGTTGCTAGATAGGCCACTTCCTCAGAGCACTGCAATGTCTCATCATCTTACTCAGTCATAGCACACTCACTTTTAAACCAGCAGAGAGTTAAATGTTTTCAGTACCAACTGTTGGCTCATTCAATCCAAAAATAACTTGTCTGAACTGTGGAAAGTCCACCTCAGTCTAATCCTCCCTGAAGTGAAACGGGACCCGGGAACAATTCTGTATTGAGCTTTTGCTTTCCTAATTCACTGTTTGTAGGTGGAGAAATGTGTATTCATGAGTTGTACTTCTTCAAGTGTTTATTGTCTCATATGTCTTTCCTTTGTCCCTGCTGCAGAATGCTGAAGTGTCTGTGTTTGAGGTGAACATCCGGTTTGTTGGAGGTCTGCTGTCCGCCTACTACCTGTCTGGGAAAGAGGTAAGAAACAAAGTGAAGCTCCCTGTAGTGTTTTCTCATGCCACCTCTGCAGTGAACAAGACTTTGAGGAGGGAATCTTGCCGCCTGTTGGCTGAGCGATGAAACAGATGGTACAGGGCAGATGATTGATTGTGGAGATTTAGTGATTGAATGGGTGCTTTATATGCTCAAAATCTTTAGTAATATCCCCTTTAATAGCTGGTACAGATAAATGTATCCCATTAGGGAGTACTCTTTCCGAGTATGGGTCTCTCTTTCTCTTCTAGTTCAATACCAATCACACATTTGATGAGTCGAAGATGGCTGGAAAATGGCCTGTAATGTTGTTCCTATTTTATGTGGTGGCTGTGCATCGGTAAAGGATACAGCACTGTTGATCTATGTGTCAAACTAAAGAGATAGTATCAGGTTCTTTTGTTTTCCCATAGGAATGTCCTTGCATGTTGGCAAGAACATTGGTAAAATGAAGGTTGCCTACAAGGTGCCTCAGATATAGAAAACTGCCATTGTTTTACAGTTTTACTTAGAAAAGACTTCCTTTTTCGGGTCGTAAAAGAAAAAGAAAGGTGGTTCTTCATCGGCCTAAGGGGGAAGACTCTGTTCTGAAGAGTCAGATTACTGTTCCAGGCTTGCTTTATTCAGAAAAATGAGAGCAGAGGGATTCCACGGGGCTTCTCACTTTACTCATCGCGCCAGTCCCGCTGTGTCTATGTGCATGTGAATCTGCTTAGTGACTTAGAGGCTGTGAAAATGACATCAGCAGGGTATTACACTCAGATCGTGTTCCACTCCGCCAATTTAGGGATTTTGCATACAACTCACTTTTCCTTAATATCCTCTCTTCTTTCTGTCTTTTAATTACACGCCTCAGTCTCCTTAATGTATGATAAGACCCCACCAAAGAACTCCCCCGAAACCTGGTACCTGAAAACCGAAAGATCTTAGGAGTTTTGTTTCTGTCACAAGAGGGATTTCACTCCGAGTCACTTTTATCTGCACTGCTGTTGACACCTCAGCTGTAATCTGCACTTTAATACACGTACACAGGTCTACACACTGTCCTAATCTACACCATCATCGTAGCGGTGAGCGAACAGGACTTGTGAGGCTAAGTGCTCCTTTATTAACAGGGGGAGATAGTGCAGGCAGGAGTCAGGCTGGGAGTTCTCTGGTAGCAAAACCTATTTCCAACCTCAATGAACATGTCAGTGCTTCAACACACACAGAAAATCTGGGGAAACATTACTTCTTATTGGTCAAGTGCTGGATGTTAGGACTATGGCTTAAAATTGGCAATAATAACAATGGCTGTACTCAACTTTGAGTTATGTCAGTCCATTCAGATTTGGTGTTTGCTCCTTTTTTTCCCCAAGAAAAGTTAGGTATTTAAAAGGATTGATATTTAAAAGGACGTTGAAGGTGACAATGACGGTCACATAATGTAGTAAACAAGCCAAGTTGGCCCTCCAAGCTAATGCAGACTAACTATGCTAACGACGGATCGCAAATGTGCCAAAACTATATCAAACAAAAGCCTGAACAGTAGACTGCATTGTATTAAGTTGCTGTGAGCTGTAAACTCACCACTTCTGAGCAGGAGGTAAAAGATAATGTTATCTCAGAGCCTGACCGGGCAAAGCCTCTCGTCTTCCGGGCAGCTGCCTCCTCACTCAGAATTACCTTGGTTCTGGGTACACAGTTGCCTGGACCGGAGAGCAGCGTTAAAGCAAGGAGTGCTCATTCTGCAGCTTATTCAGGGGACAGAAACATCCCCAGAAGTACACCGCACACTGACAATTACTGGGGTCCAAGAATCTTGACCGACTGAGGGTTCTCTGACTGATGATTTAAATGTTCGGCAGTCCTAAATCTCAGTAAACAAATTTCTCAAAGCAAATTCCAAAGGGAGAGACAATATAGCACAAATCATAGAGATTAATCCTCTAAATGTGTGCGTCTCTCAACAGTACTTTCAAACCTAAACAGTACTTTATGAGTCTCCTCTGTAGGGTGGCTGGGCTCAGCCTTAGAGAGGGTAAAGAGCTCGGATATCCGGAGAGAGCTCGGAGTAGAGATGCTGCTCCTTCGCGTCCAAAAGAGGCCAGTTGAGGTTGGTCGGGCATCTGATCAGGATGCCTCCTGCGCTCTACCCAGTAGAGGTTTTCTGGGCATGTCCCACTGGTAGGAAGCCCTGGGGCAGACCCAGAACACGCTGGAGAGATTATATAGTCTCATCTGGCCTGGGAATGCCCCGGCATCCCCCAGGAGGAGCTGGAAGGCATTGCTGGGGAGAGGGGAATCTGGAGCACTTTGCATAGCCTGCTGCCCCTGTGACCTGGGCTTGGCTAAATGGTTGAAAATGGATGGATGGATGGTTAAGCTGGCAGTTATTCGCAGGCTTTATTAAAGAATTTGGTCTAAAAATGTGAGAAAATTGTGAAAAAATATGATATTTCAAATCAAATTTTCCTCAAACCCAAAGTTTTTCTCTTTAAAGTTCTTATTTTGTACAACAAAAAGTATAAAACCCCAAAAAGAGAAATAAATAGAAAAACAGCAAATCTTGGAGCAAATCAGAGCTGGGACTAGAGAGTAATTTTGTTTGGAAAATGTCTTTAACGAACTATCAGTGAGATCAGTATGAAGAATCATTGGCTCCGGCTGCTTTATCGTCAGCCATGTGAGGAAGTTCCAATTAGGATTTGTTTGCTCAACCAGCCAAGCACATGCCTAAAAACAAGTTACAAAACAAGTGAACAGTGAAGAATTTATAAAACAACACAAGATGAAATGCCTCAAAACAATTTCAAAATAAAAAGCTGAAGTTCAGCTAAAAGCAAAAAAAAAACCCAAAAACTTGTATGTAAGTGCTTGGAAGAACAACCCTGAGCTTCCCACTGTGATCTGCATTTGACATACACAGTCATAACAAAAGCTGCGTGGAGATCATCTGAACTGCATGACAAGTGTGAAACAGTGGAGGGCAACTGTGAGCCCTCATCTCCTCTCAGCAGTCACTTGCAGCTCCATTTCTTTTTTATTATGAGAGTCAATCAGCTCAAGACTTCCTCCTGTATTTCGTCAGAGCCATGAAAGGCCACTCTCCTTCAGCTGCAGGTCAGGGTGCCCTGAAGGATGGAGGCGGTAGATGGATGGCTGATGGGTGGCCTCCAAGGACTGAAGGCTGTTGATGGACAAGTTGACTGAGTGTTGCCGGTGGTGTGCCTCTGAATGGCTAAAAGACAGCTGGGTAGTGCTCAACAGGCTGTTAGGGGTAAAAGAACAAACAACAGTGAAAGATAAGAAGGAGATACACTGTGCTGATTGAGCTTGGACTGGCAGAACCCTGAAACACAGACCCGTGTATATATAGCCTCATCCTCTTTGCTTTTTTTAACACCACAACTTCTAATTAAATCCACTTTAAAATAGCAATATAGTCCACAAAACAAGGCTGGAACTAACATTTTTTCATTATTTAGTCAGATGAGTATCGTTCAACTGTGTCATTGAGTCTATTAAATATCAAGACAAATGATAAATGTCCTTCTAAATTTTTTAAAGCACAAAGTTACATCTTCAAATTGTTTGTTTTGATCAACCAGCAGTCCAACAACCCAAAGATGTTCAGTTTATTTTACATTTTTGTAGGGCTGCTCTCGACTAAGAATTTTCCTCGTCAACCAATAGTTTTAGGGCCATTAGTCAACTACTCGCCTGCATGTTTACGATATTAATTTCATTATTAAATGATATATTTTGGGCGGGGCAACACAATGGTTTGAGTTCAAGGTGAAATACAAAACCGTACTAATGAACCTTCATTAATATAGGCCTATATTTTATCTACAAGTGCACGTCACACACTGAGCAAGCCGTCTGTTAATGACGCTGTCGGCAAAGCAGTAATGATTGTGCTAATGGGCATGTAACTACTTACATGTTTCAGGTGATACGTCATGTTTGTAGTCGACCAATTATAGGCAAATGTTTGCCTGCAACTTTTTATTCATTGGATTAAAATGTGCTATATTGTGATATGTATCGTTATCGGGATATGAAATGACCTATATCGTGATATGAGATTTTGGTCGTATCGCCCAGCCCTACTATGTTGTTATTTTTTATTGGTGTTATATAGTCTTGTGAAACTAGTCCTTGACAGGTAAACCAGACTTTGCACATCCAGTCGATGCAGCAAAATCAATTTTTTGCATTTCCAGATGAGCTGTCCAGTTTCCCTCTTTCACATGCCACACTCCACAACCTGTAAAACCAGTGCTTTTGGAAATCCACTCCAGATAAAAGCTCTCGCAGATAAAGTGGAGCTGTACTGCAGGTACATTCTGCCGACTGATATTTTTATATTATAAATGGACTAATTGAACACCGGTCAGGCATTATGTAACTCCCCATTTGGAGTATCTATTAGATGAGACTGTACCTGACCTCCCGAGAAGATGTTCAACCCGCAAACCCAACGAGACCACAGAGCAGAGAGAGAGGGAGGCTGTCAGCTGAATAGAAAGAGTGATAAAAAAAAAAGATCAGATGTGACCTTAGAAACTATTCAGCCCCTTGACTTCTTCTGCATTCTGTAGTGTTGCTGTCTGAAATGAAAATGGATTCATTAGAGTTGGGAGACAATGTCAACACCAGGCCCACTCAGAGTACTCCCTAATGAAAGACTGCCAGTTAAACATGAAACTCCCTTGGACAACATTATGGTGTCTGCCTTGACAAGTACTGTCCTCTCTCTGTCGAACATGTGTTAGTTTTATTTTATGTACTTATATATAGACATTAGAAGTACATTATGTACTGTATTATATACATATTTGTTTTCTATTACATTGCCTAAATTGAATTAATGAAATATGATTGAAATGAGTTGTAGAGACATCTTTGAGACCTGAGGGATTTCAAATAACCGTGAATCTATTTGGAATTTAATGCAGAGATATTTAGTAGTTAAATGACGAATAAAGTGCAGCTTCTTC